TTTTCTGTGTGGTAGGTATCGCATCTTTGTGTGTTGCAAACAACAACTTACGTGTGGAATAAGTACAGTAGGAGTTCACTGAAAGAAAACATTTAGTAATGGTCGTTTTCAATTGTTTTTCAAATTGTGTTGAAATGTTACTAACCCATGGTAGTTTTAGGTAAACAGGACACTTGATAGGACCAAATTTTGGGTCACTTGAGTGAGCTCGCAATTTTTCTTGAAGTAATTTGATTGACGACGTTTTCTGGATACCCATTTTCTAGTAAAATAGTTTTAATTGTCTTCAATTCAAAATTTAGTTTAGATTTTGAACAGATAACTAGAGCCAAATGGACTAAAGTAGCAATAAGGTTCGTTTTGCGACTTTGGGACTGAAAGAATCCCATCGTGTATATCCTATAGATCATTTTCCAGACGGTTCTGCTATGATTAGTGTCTGGCGAAAAGCTTCAGCATATATTTTCTTTGCAGCATCTCAACCAACAATTGGTCAAATTATCAACGTTATTTTCAAGTTTTGAACAACTCAACTTTGAAGATTTACATATCTACATGTGCCGATGTTTTCATTTATCAACATTATATTTTAAGATCTGTGCAAGAACTCGGGCTAACAGATGTTTCCGCATACACCAAAAAAACTTTTCAAATAATTTTAAGTGGAAACACACAGTGCTTTGTGTTTCTAGACTTACTCTGATCTTTTAACAAGCTACAATATTTCGAAGAGGTCAAACTTCCATTGAATGCAAAAGTACGGTTCTTCTTTATTCGATTGAAAATGCCCCCAGTGGCACAGCGGTATATCTGCAGACTTACAATTCTAGAATCAGGGTTTCGATACCCGTTGTGGGCAGAGCACAGATAGCCCATTGTGTAGCTTTGTGCTTAATTACAAAAAAACAAACGATTACAAATTACGGGTGAATGTTTTTGTCATTATTGTTTTGCATTTGTTCTTTTAGTATTTTTTTTTTCACAATACAAGTATATTCTAAGAATAGAGATGTAAAAAACGAGCATGCGCGTCTGTTACTGAGGCTTACTTTAGCACGGACGTAAACATGCATCAAAGAAGTAGAACGTTTCTCTTTTTAACACAATTTGTTTTTTACTGTACGCTTATATCAAACTAAATGACTATGATAAAAACAGAAACATGAAAAGACGGAAACCACTCCACTACAAAAATATCGTCTATATTACACAAAACGAGGTCACGTCGCATTATCCCTGACAGCACGTACTGCGTGCACATCAAAATCGTCATGGATTTGTGTCACTTTGTTTGCGTTAATTTGTTGACTCACGACAGAAGATGCATCAGAGTAAAGACTGTTTGAAAGATCTATTAAACGATGATCATGTTAGAGTTCAATTTCACCCTTGAATCTATCGGTTTCATAACACGACTGTTTGAAAGATCTGTTAAACGATGATCATGTTAGAGTTCAATTTCACCCTTGAACCTATCGGTTGCATAACATGACTGTTTGAAAGATCTGTTCAATTATCTTCAGGTTAGAGTTCAATTTCACCCTTTAACCTAATGGTTGCATAACACATTTAGAGCTGAAAGGCAATTAACAGGAGTTGACAAAGATTGAAAATTATACTGTGTGTGTGAATGCAGTTTAGAATCAAACTGTTTATTCAAAAATAATCAATTCCTTTTCAGCTACTGTATGCCTGATGTACTTTGAGAGGGTTGTCTGTTACCAGCACTTCAATAAATGACAACCTTTTCAGCTACTGTATGCCTGATGTACTTTGAGAGGGTTGTCTGTTACCAGCACTTCAATAAATGACAACCTTTTCAGCTACTGTATGCCTGATGTACTTTGAGAGGGTTGTCTGTTACCAGCACTTCAATAAATGACAACCTTTTAATTTATTTTTATCTCAGCATCGTTCATACGGTTTCCTGTTCTATTAACTTCTAAGGTGATTCTTGTGCACATGTATTTTAAAAGCTTGATTAAAAACTTATAAAACACCTTCCAAGTATATAGTTGACAACAGATATGAATAATTTTTGTTTTACGCGTAAACGAAAGTTTTATCCTCCGTATTAAAATGTTCGATCATAGGGCAGTTTTCTTCGTTACAAGACTTAAGCTACACTTAAGAATTAATGTTAAGATGATTGATTATATAATAAAATAAGCAAGACGAATGGAAAATCAACCATTGTGAGAAAATGTATCAAAACGAAAATTATTTAATATATTGGATAACTAGTATTTTTGATTGTTTAGAGCTATCTGCGTGTAGCAGTCCCTCATTTTTAACTAACAAACTAGAGGGTAAGCAGCTAGCTATTCAACAGCATCAACTGCTTAGACTTGGACTACTTCAGTCTGACTGAACAACGTGATTTGATTGTCACACTTTTAGCACATGCGTACAGTCTCAAAGTTCGAGGCACATTTTTGCAGCCCACGGATGGCGAACAACGAATCTTCGGAATCACAGTCTGGACACGCTAACCACTAAACCACGCCCGGCAAAGACGACTAATGAGAAATCGAACAGTGTTGTAGGTTACAATTTATAGATTATGTCCGTAGAGTGAAGTAATAAATGTTTTGTAGTGCTTTGAATGACTTCTAAAGTAAAGATAGTGACGCTGCATATAAGCATGTATTAGTAGTTTAGCCTGTGATTTTTTTGATACTTTT